GAACTTGAATATTTTTACCTTCTGGTTCCATATCGCAAGAAACCAGAGCAGTTTTTCCCGTTATAACGGAATAAATCCAGTACTCGCCACTTTTCGCTTTTCCATCTTCGCTGGCGTTTATCTCTTCACATGTTTCCGCTGGAAATTCAGGAATGGAACCAAGAGGAACTGAGGACAAGAAATATTTTCATCAAAGATAATTTCTAGCTGTACTTCCACCCTCTAATAACTTTCTTACTAGAAGTTTAGGTGTGTAGTATCGCTGAGTATTTTTACGAGTTAAGCCGTTAACTTGTCACATAAGGTTTCAAAACGATTAAAAGTTGAATTTTATTTTTTATTGTTGTTCTCAAATCGTACACATTTGCTGCATGTACGAAAGTGTACATTTATCAATGAAAAGTGATTTGTAATTTATCGCCAGTAACAAAGCTTTGAATCTGCCAGGGGACAAGCTCTTAAAGACATGGATGTGCCCTTTGCATATGAAAATAATTTCCAAAACTACATTTCATTTTCATCATCCGACTCGATCACAAAGCGACGACGCTTTGAATTAATCGCTGCCGGTATTTGAGGAGCTGAAGGCTCTTAACTAACAACCATGGAACAGTTGTTAAATACGGTGCAAGAGTAGGCAACTGTTGCCAACTTCTCAAACAGGTTTTTTTACGGTAGGAAATAACTAACTGTCGAAATAACTGTACAATATCGCAGGATATTTGCACTCTATTCGCGCATTATTTGTTCCCTACTTTGTGCAGTTGGATAATAAATTTCATTACTCCTCTCGATCAAAGAAAAAAAAAAGAGCTGGGGCCCAGAAATTTAAACTACGGATAACGCTATCCACTTTCTTTCATGGAAAATAATTTGCTTTCGAAAGTATAAATTTGGAGTAATATCATGTCTTTTGTCTATGGTGTCTCAAATTTCACCAACCAACCCCCCATAGTAGTTTAGAAACTTTAAATTTCACATTCATTGTTAAGTCCTTTTGGGCGATGAAACTCACCTCTTTTCTTATTACTCCTGACATAATATCTCTCCGAATTTGGTACAAAGTTCTCTGGTCTGGCCTCCTTAGTCCGGTTGTTTAGTTCACATAATTTCTCCGTAATTAAGTAATTGAAGCTGTGACATCGAAAATCATCGTTACACGCTCGATTACATTCGACTGCAATCGACGATTTCAACTTTTTGAAGGTGTGTCTTCGAAGCATCATACCAAAAATTGCATGCTCATCCTTTTTGCATTCTTGAGCGAAAATTTCATACGCGATACAAAGTGTCACTGAAATAAAGAATCGCATCGTCACAACCACCGGCTTGTCCTTTCCTGTAAGATAAATTACGATTAAAATTAAAGACCAAGATTATGCTATAATGCTAAGAATATAGATATTTTTTGGATCTTGGCTAAAAACTGTTTGTGGAATGAGGGAAAAATCCACGAAACATCAAAACCAACAGACATAAGGATGGAAAATGAACCTTGAGATTCAGCCTTGTTTAATTGAAAACCTGCCAAGTTTTATTTATGCTCCCCTAAGAAATGTGGGAAACTCGCAAATTCTTTAAAGTAGTCCTGATAAATGTATATCGGTGAGAGGATTCAACGCCTAAACAGAGGAAGAACAAATGCTATAGTTTATACTGTAGCGATCGAACCTTCAGCTGTTCTGTATTCAGATTAACTTTTGAAAATATCTGGCCTGGTACTTTACATATCTTGTACGTACCTTGATTGCTATCCAAGGTAGATGATAACGCCTCTTGGAAACTGTTTAGGGGAATTCAGAATTTTTTTAGGGAATCAAGCTACCCGAAAGTAATTGTTTGTATTACATTTCAGCAGTTTGCTATTACCTTGGAGTAGATTACAATTATAATCCCAGAGTCTTTGATGTTTAGAAACAAGTGGTTGAACAGGTGTCAAGGTTCTTTGCAGACAAACAGAGGCCGGTATTACCAAAAACAAGTATTTTAAGAGAAATTTTTTGTTCACCTGCAGATCCAAAACAGATCGATGACTTAGTCTTCTTTAGACAATATCTCTTGGTTGTATGAGAAAAAAATCGTAAGGGCTGTTTCTCTGCATACTTGATGTACAGAATGCTGGTAAAATTTAAGGATAAATTTCAATTTTTTTATATCGCGCAGTAAATCAATAATTATGAGGAAAGTACTTAGTTCTAAGATGTTTGAGAAGAAAACAAGAAAGATGGTCCTAGGATTTTATGAAGATTTTTACATTCCTTATTTTTCGCAAGAAAAGGAAAAGCACATAGGAGCATCGACGCAACACAGTAAATGCCTACGTCTTCATACTTGACTTGTTCTCTATTCTATCATTTTCTGCCCGTTTTAAATCTTTCTAAAACTCCTAATTAGCACAACTCCTTTAACAAATGTTTCTCCTTTGCAAAACAGCAGAAAGTGCGCGCCCTTTTCTATTCTCAATTGATAAAGACGCAAATCAATGGGAAGTTTTGAAACACTGGGATCAGGCATAGCAGCTAAATGTTTTAGCTTTCCCAGATACTTGTGATTATTTATCAGAAAGATAAGTCTTGTAATGTCTCGGTGTTAAACTCTAAGCTCCCATTTCCTTCATGTATTTCCACAGTTTTCATGGCTTTAATGAGCTTATCTCGAATCAAAAATTTATGTCAAACCGTCCGCAGCAAACCGATCTCTTTTTTTTTTTTAATTAGACTTTTAATTAACAGATCGCACTAGCAATTTTCCAAGAAAGTAGTGTAAGTAATATTATGAACTCCCCTGAAACGATGGAGGAAAATGAAAATAATTTGATTTACGTAAGGAGTTCTTTTAATTTATCACAGAATGCCATTCGAACCACATTCAATACAATGTTTACAAAGCGCTTTTTTTTCGTTTTGCTTTTATGGAAAGAGATACGCACGTATTTTTCCAATGACTAAATCCCAGAGTTAATCATAAAAATTTTTGATATTGGGCGACGAAAATTGCAATGAGCCAAATGTTATTATCTTGCCAAATCGTCCCATGTTTGACCATTTCCCGGACTTCTCTCTAGCTTTTTTTTTCTCTAATTGAAAGTGAAATTTCGGAACAAGCGAACTAGCAAATAGTAACAGAATATAAAATACGTTATAATGTTGTGAACAGAGGCGGAAATCCTCAAAGAGAAAACGAAATGGACAGTCTGAGTTTTGAAGATTTTGACGCCCAGTTAGATAGCAAGTTTACACACGGAAATAGAAATGATGATCTCGTTTGAACCAAGCTATGAAATAATTTGAATACCACGTACTACAATGAACTAGAATTATCAAAATGAGTTGAACAATTTACAACTTGACTAAAAATTAGGCTTAAACACACTACCAAATATCTAATTTAGTGATATTCTTAGACCTTTTTATTATTATTGCTTTATCGAGTGAAATATCAATAATATAGGTATAATATCTACGAAAGTCACTTTTTAAGTCCTTATGATTATAATGCTCGCAAACGAGTTATGGAAACTCCAATAAATGGACTATTTAGATTATCGATAAACTACAAAACCTCTTATAAGCGATGTCTTACCCTGTGTATTTTTTTTACTACTCCATATCTTATAGCTGACTTGCATGACCAAACTTTTCTCTAAGTTATTTAATAAATCTGTACACATAACAAACGCCCTAACATAACGAAAATAGACGTCACTTTACCACGTATTAGATTGCTGTAAGGACAACGAGTTATGAAAATTCTAGATGAGCTACCTAGATAACTTGATAAACTTCCAAAACACTGATTAGTGGCGTTTAACAAAATATTCTACGTATTTGTCCCTTTTGAATCCTTTTTTCTTTCAACAAGAGAAAGTGTTGGAAAAAAAAAGGTACGAAACGCTGGTAACCTTATTACCTTGTTTACCAAAAACTGATATTGTTATACAACTGGAATTTTTTTTTCAACAGCAGGCGCTATCATTGGTTACTTTGGGGTCACATGACATCCAATAATAAAAATGTTGCCTATGTAAAGTTTCTGATCTGAGTGAACAACATTACAAAATCTTTGACATCAGAAGGTAATAATGGAATGTTTCCCGCTCGTGTTTATTGACAACCACCTTTAGAGGTGAACACGGCTCCACTGAGGACAACGTTAAACCGGCAAGACATTTCCTACGCACTTTAAAGGAGGTTATCAAAATGTTCGATTTCTTTCTACACCGCCTCCTCTAATTTCTTTATTATGCTATACAACAAAATACTAGACGACTGTGCCTACTGTGAAGCGTACCTTTTGTTTTACTCGCGACCAGTTCTAAAGAGTTTACTATTAAAAAAAACTTTCTATAATAGGATAGTTAATAGATTGAACTCATTACACTCCTTTAAATTATGAATTTTATAATTTATGAGGTGGGTCACGTGCTCAAGCCTGGATTGAATTATTAACTTTATAATGGTTTTTGACCACATTCTTACAAGCAAACCTTAAAAAAGTTTTATCAAATGTCAGGATTTTAAGCTAAAGCGTGTTGAATATTATGATCCTAGACGGTGACATTACTAATATCTAGCCTGGGGAAGAGCATTCTAATCATCTCATGTTGAAAAAGGAACAAGGGATTTGAATATATATAAAACTTCTGCAATTACCAATACAACTGCTTTTTCCTGTTAATGGGAAAATCGGCTTTTGAAAAATAACTGTAATACTCAAGAAATGTTTTGGAATCAGCCCTAAAGTTCTATAATTTGCACAAGGCCATTATCATTCGAGTTCCCACCAGCCAAACCGGAACAATCTTGGCCATTACAGTACGAGCCTCCTCCACCTCCGGCTTGTTTTTCATGGGTACCACTACCTCCCCCAGAGTACCCACCACCTCCACCTGATGCACCATTATCCTCTGATCCACCTCCCCCACCGCCAAACCCACCAACTGCTCCTGGTGGAGGGCCCCCGTTATTACCGCTATTCATACCTCCGGCTTGACCTCCGATTCAGCCTTCAGCGCGTGATCCACCTCTTTCCCCATGGGAGGTGCCCAGTCGGGTACAACCTTGACCAAACCAACCGGCACCTACTCCTCCATGGTAGTTACCGCCGTTACTGCTGCATTCACCTGGCTGTCCACCTGTGCCTCCATTTCGAACTTGTGAGGATTCTTTCCCCACACTACCGATGCCATTTGAACCAACCTGACCATCCACACCATTATATCCACCAGACGCACCCCCTCCTCCTCCAGCAGCCAGCAACAAAACGTTATCTGCAGTATAAACAAAACTTCCTCCCCCTCCTCCAGTGCCAGCATTGTCTTCCACGGACACTCCTAATTGAGCTGCTGTCTTTTTAGTGCTATTTCCACCTTTTACTTCCACCGAATCCCCTCCTCTTTGTCCCACCACAATATTTAACACTGTTCCATTATTCAGTCTGAACTTGCCTTCTATAAACGCTCCCTTTCCATCATAATATGTTCCTGGAAGGTATCCATAATCGTAGGAATGTGTTCCTCCCCGAGCTCCCCAGGTTTTGATGAGATAGCGAGTGGTCCGTGGAACAGTGAAGGTCTGTATAGTGCCGAAGCGTCCCCTTCTCCCATCGGTTTTGAGATTCAAAGTACCTTTAAAAAGAAAAAAGTATTTACGCCTGAAATGTACTATTTAGTAACGGGCTTCTGGTTATGAATATGATATCTGTGAAATTTTTGAGGAAAATGTCCACAAAAAATGCGAATTGAAATAGAAGCGTTGAAAATAACAAGTTAGTCTGGCTGTGTTAAAAATCCAAATATCCTTACGGTAACAGGTTGTTGCATTGCCAAGAAATCCAGGTCTGCAGGAACAGCGATAAGAGCCCATGGTGTTCTCGCAATCGGCATTGATTGGACAAAATGATGGTGAAGCGCTGCATTCGTCAAGATCTGTTAAAAAAGGAAAGCCAAGTTACTTCTTCCTCTTCTATGCAAATTCTGTGGCCCTTATCTTTACGTATTTATTTTTTCCCCAGTATTTTATCACCTTCAATTGGACAATGAGCCGAGAGAGAGGGTCAACACTTGGAAAATAAAGTGTAAGATGTCTAGGGTTGATTATGGAAGCCCCGACTCATCGCTGACGTGCAAAGTAAACTCTTTGCAGCAAGATAGAATTAAAGAATATCGAATCGAAAGAAAGCAATGCGAAGATTTCATCACATTTGTACCGAACTTTTGCATTTAAATGAAGAATAAATTGTTCACGCGAAGCAATTTCAGATCTTATAAAGTAATAGTTGAAGAAAGCTCAGCGAAACAACACCTTGCAACGACATTGCTTAATGATTAATGTACGTTTTTGATCAAATTTCTTCCCACCTTTGCAGCTACGTCCATTTCCAGAAAACCCAGCTCTACAAGAGCAGCGATACGATCCCAGAGTGTTTTTGCAGTCAGCATTCACATCGCAAACGCTAAATGAGGCATTACATTCGTCAGAATCTGTTAATGAAAATTCAAATCGTTTAGAGCGATAATATGCATTGATAAAGAAGAACAATTTTTAAGCGAATTATTGTTCAGATCCACTTTTATCAAGTTAGTCACAGTTGATTAAAAAAACCCAAGGGTGTGAGTTTCAAACAGCTTTATCGAGCAGGCTCTGTAAGAGTTTCTATGTAGATCATTCCAATAACATATTGAATCGTTGCTTGGTGTTGGAAATTAAAGCGAACAGTGCATTCACCTTACTTAGTAGGATGTGAACGAGTCAAGATTTATTAAATCCTACATTGAAAAACTTAGATTCCTATGAATATGCAATTCTATGAATATGAAATTCTTGCTGTCATCTACTGCCGTACATGATTGAGATATAAAAAAAAATAACTAAGATAAAAGATAGGATTAATAAAAAAGATCCGCCATGTTTGGAAATGCGCAGGCGCTTATTTGTGGATGATGCGACTTTATTTCAGTTGATTTTAGTTTTCTGCTGTTAGATTAAGAGTCAGCCATCTGCTCTGGAAGGGCTGACAGAATAGCTCCTTGCAGCTTCATAACTAGTTCCCAAGGAAAAAATCTTATACGATCAAGAAAAAGTCTAAATTTTCTTTGAAATAGTAACAATCTTTTCCAAGTGTTCCCTTCAACAAATGATCAGACTTACGACTAACAACAAAAAAGAGTTGCACCTAAGAGAAAAGCTGACCATTAGCTTTTATGCGAGGCACATACTTTATAGTGCATGTCCATTCTGTTTAACTGTCCTACTCTACCTTCGGTTTTCATGTCACAATGAACCAACACAGGAGTGTCAGGTTTGATGAAATTCAGCCAGTATTTTCCGCTGACCGCTTGTCCACCTTCACTCGCCTTGATCTCCTTGCACGAGTCTGCAGACAGCTCTGGAATGGCACCGAGAATAGCTAGAAAATAAGAAAATGACAAAGTGAAGGAAAAATGCAATATCTCCCTCTCTAAAACAGTTAGCTAAATCATTTTGCCTTAACGCTCACCTCTCTTCATATCTCGTCTGAAGTAATATCTCTCAGAGTTGGGTACAAAATCTTCAGGCCTGGCTTCCTTTGTGCGGTTACTCAGCTCACACTTGTCTTGTGTGAACACATAGTTAAAGCTTTGGCATCTGACGTCACGATAACACTCCCGCAAACACACATCACCGAATGCAGCTCCAGTGATTGTTTTAAAAATGTGTTTTTGAAGCATCTTACCAAAGATGGAGACTTCGCGTGTATCACGGTGGTACTGAGCAACAACTGAGCGAGACAATACCAACATGAAGAGGAAAACTGTTAAATGAAAGAACTCTTGAATCCCCATTGTAGTTATATAATTTCACCTGAAATGAAATCATAAAGTTTGAGAGCACAGTGATACAAATATGAGTGCGTCCACGGAAAAACAGGGAATACGATAACTGTTTGGCTGTTTTCCAAGCAGTATGAAATATCCTAGACACGCATGTCAAGCGATGTGTCATGCATACGACAAATTTAAAACTTGGTGTAAAAAAGCAAGCGTGAGATATGGCGCTAGTCGATAAGACACGGAAACTAAAACAGTCCAACTGCGCGTTCGTCTATGGTTTAATCAAAGGTTTTACTAATTTTTATCCAAAAAGAAGTCAAAGCTTTTTGAATGCAATTCCTCAGAGGCAGAAACAGTTTTACTAGGTACAGCGAACGGTCGTAGTCCCGGTGTTATGAAGTAACAGAATCCTTTAACAGTTGGCACACAGTTCGCCGCCCCTGACAACGCGTATTAAAAATTTCCCAAAATGATATCTTTGGTTTAGCTCTGTCCTATCATGATGATAACAGAAGCTACTTCTCCTATGCTATGAACTTGCCTGAGTGTCTTCCTTCACTTTTCTTAATCGACAAAAAGACCTTTGGAAACAAATGAACTTCAAATGGAATTTGAATTGTATTGAAATACCACCTGCAGACTTTCTTTGAAAACATTTTGGCTGAGATTCACGCAGAATTTCTGTTTTCTTTGAAATTCGATGCAAACAAATGGCAACGAAACTCTTAGTTTTATCTAAAGAAAAACTTTTTTAGAATTCTTTGGCTTTCCAAAATTCGTTTCCTATCATCGTTTGTTCGACGCAGCTACAATATTGTTCTTGTTACGAATAGGTCAGAACTGTAAACGTAGCACAGTGATACAAATATGTGGCCGTCCACAGAAAAACACTGGAATACGGTAACTGCAGAGGCACTTATTGTTCGGCTGTTTTTCAAGCAGTATGACATATCGCAGACAAGCATGACGGGCGATATGACATGCACGCCACAAATTCAAAGCTTAGCGTAAAAAGCAAGAGTGAGATATGGCACAAGTCGAAAAGACACGGATACTAAAACAATTCCATTGCACGTTCGTCTAAAGCTTTATCAAAAGTTTCACTTATTTTTTTCCAATAAGAAGTTGTCAAAGCTTTTTGAATGCAATCCCTCAAAGGCAGAAACAGTTTTTACTAAGTACAGCGAACGGTCGTCGTCCCGATGCATGCAAAAAGAAAAGGATCTAAATATAAAGTAACAGACTCCTTTAAGACCCATTCCCTAATGTATTAGTCGCTCTTCCTGCTGTTCAAACATTCACGCTATTCTTTTAAAATAGCACGCAGTTCGCCGCCCCTGACAACGCGTACTATGGGTACTATGCTATGAACTTGCCTGAGTGAGTATCGCAGTCTTCCTTCACTTGTCAAAATTGATAAAGAGATCTATGGAAGCAAATTGACTTTAAATTGAACTTTAATTGTATTGAAAGAGGAACTATGAAGCACGATGCTCTTTTTGAAACTTAATTTAATGCCACCTGCAGACTTTCTTTGAAAACATTTTGGCTGAGATAGAAATTCGGAATGCGACGTTGTTATAGTGTAAGTAAATGGCAACGAAACTCTTCGTTTTATCTCATAAAAACATTTTTTCAGAATCCCTTGGCTTTTCAAAACTCATTTCTTATTATCGTTCGTTTGACACAATATAATATTGTCTCTGTTAGGAATAGGGAAGAACTGTGAACGTGTTTTTCGCTAAGTCATGACATTAAGGCTGAACGCATTTTGTTCCTTACGTCATGAACGAGAGCTAAATAATTTCCCGTCCAACCTGACCTAAAACGCATTTTATAGTATGATAGCTGCTCTTTCTCTTGACTCCTCATACTTGTTTATGCGCTATTGACCTCCTATATTAATTTTTTATATCAAAATGTGAGAGAGAGAGAGGATTTGTTTTTTTCACTTTGACAAGAGGCAATCCTTTACAATCACTTTTGTTGAGAGTTCTGTCTTTATCGTTTATATTTTTTTTCTTGCTTTTCAGTGCAGTCACTGCTGAGACCTAAAAACCATGGCTGATCTTAGAAAGGAGCGAGTTTAAGAGATAAGTGAAGTTTTCATCATTATAGTCCAACATTATCAAACCAGCGGGTGCCGGTGAAGCTTATTAACATACTAATTAGAGTCGAATTTTGAGAGTAAAATGATACAAATATGTGGCCATTTACAGAAAAAGAGGGAATACGATAACTGCAGAGTCACCTACTGTTTGGCTTTGCTCCAAGCAGTATGACATGTCGCACGCACATGACGAACGATATGACACGCATACGATAAATTTAAAGCTTAATATGAAAAGGTGTGCATGAGATATGGCACGGATCGATTAAGGCGCGAATATTATCGAACAGTTATATAGCGCGTTCGTCTATCGTTAAATAAAATATTTTGCTTAGTTTTCCAAATAGTAGTGTCAAAGCTTCTTAAATGCAATTCCTCAATGACAGATAATGCAAACTGGAAACAGACATCTAAATAATGAAGTAACTGAATTCTTTATGACCCATTCCCTGATGTATTAGCAGCTCTTTCTTCTGATCCAAACATTCACGCTATACTTTCAGAATAGCACACAATTCGGCGCCCCTGAAAACGCTCATGAACATTTCCCAAAATAATATTGTTAGTTTAGCTCTATGCTATCATGATGATAATAGAACCATAAGGTACTTCTCCTATGCTATGAACTTGCCTGAGTGAATACCGCAGTCGTTCTCTCCTTTCCAAGATCGAAAAACTGATCGTTGAGAGAGAGATAACTTTGAAACTTAGCCTGCGTTGAATTTGAAACTTTATACAGGCCAGGACGTTCGCAAGTGGTGTCTCTATGTAACAGGATGCTTTATGTCAAAAGTTGTAATGCCACCAGCAGACTTTCATAAACCTAGTTTGGCCTAAACTCTAAACGTGATATCGTCGTTATAATGTAAATAAACGGCAGCGAAACTCTTCGTTATATGTTCTGAGAAAATATCTCGGAAAAAGTCGGACTTTCCAAACTCGTTTCTTTTCATCTTTCGTTATAATACAGCTATGTAAGTTTTCTTTTTGATCGTAAAGGAGCGTAAATTTTAGTCCCAGGTCATTATTTAAAGACCGAGAGTAGGTAAGATCCTTGTGGCATGATCAACAGAAATATGTGAATTAGTTCGGCTCGACCTGATTCAGCCAAAGGTCCCATAAGCATTTTACTACACGAATGCAATTCTGTATCTTTGTTCCTTATAATTGCATTTTGCCCAAACCGACGAAGATCATAGTCCGATGTGTTAGTAGTTACTCGAGTGATTATGGATTGCTAATTTTTATGAACTAGTCTATGCGCTATTTCCATATCAATATGTGACACAGATAACGCAATCTTAAAACTCGGATTCCATTTTCACTTTGACAAAAGGCATGCGCGTTTTTTTGGCAATCACATCTCTTGAGAGTTTTGTCGTAAATCGTTTGTTTTTTTTTTTCTTTCTTACTCTTTAGTGCAATCAGTGATGGAACCTAGAAATCATGGCTCGTGTCAAAACGAAGCGTGCTCAAGAGTAAAGACAAGTGTGAGCCAGTGTATTGTCCAACATTATCAAACTAGCGGGTGCAAAAGTTCTCTTAAAAGCTTATGAATAATTTAACAAGAGGAGATTCTGACATCAACTAATCATGTTTTGAAAGAAGAATAGGGCACGAGAGCTTCACTTTTGATGATAGAGCCGTGAGTTGAGTCAGGCTTAAAGTCTGTAGCTCAGTAATACATTGCTAAACTGGCTTCTTTACTGATATCCTTTGAAATAATTTGACTTCGCTTCCTGAAGAAAGCCTCTGTGGTCAGCCGCATAACAAAGGACACACTCATTTAAAATCATCCAAAATGAAGCTATAAGCTCCCCTTCACGTAGTCTTCTTGTGATACATACTAAATAAGATTAATTTTTTCGAAAGGACTTTGGTACTCACTCAAGAGTGTTCCTCATAACTGGCAACTTCTGGTCATCATCATTTCATCCGTTGTGTGAGTCGAGTTTCTGTAAGTTGAATCAAACGCAAACTTCTAGCTAATTTTCAATGACGATAGTCCAAAATATGTGTTTAACTGCAATAGAACTGCAAGGCTTGTGAGAATTCTCTTCTCAGAAACATATCTAAGCCTAATCACCTGGTGATGTTTTGAGGCACGACCAGCCGTTTATTTTTCGCACATGATATGGGAGGTTGACTGTCATGCAAATTAAAAATGGGGTCAGTTTCTAGAGAAACTGTTGTGCTGCGTCGGTACGAGATGTAACAGGGTAATTTAATGTAATCAACTAAGTTGATAACGTAAATTGGCTACCGTCAAGAGTTTAAAGGCTCTATAGGCTGACGTTTCGAGCGTTAGCCCTTCGTCAAAAGCTTCGTTAGCAATTCGTCAGAGCGATTCCAATCGCTCTGACGAAGGGCTAACCTCGAAACGTCAGCCTCTACAGTCTTTAAACTCCTTACGATAAACAATTTACGTTATCAACTCAGTTTATTACACTAAATTAACCTGTCATGCAAATTATTGACGTCGGGTCTCTCCGCCAAAATTAAGTTTCAAAAGAAACATAGCAGGTATTGTCCTCGATACATTTTAAATATTAACTTTTTGATTAACACTAGAAAATCCTCTAGTTTTGCAGAAAGTGGAAAAAGTTATCAATTTGTATGGAATTAAAATCGTTTTTTCCTCGATGGGGTCACTTTGGATCGCAACGTTTCGATCGATCGCATCTGAGCGCGTGCTTCCAACGATCAAAGAACACAGCTGCAGGCGTATCCAGTCGACCTTATCACCTGAATGCAAGTTCGATTCACATCGTATTCAACTGTGTTCATCACGATTAATAACTACAACCAACTTACAACAGCAATAATTTGATACGTCTAAACACGCGCATAATAGTTCACAATAATTTTCCGACTAGCTCTTTTCTCCTAAACTGACGGTTCACGTGGCTGATAGCTATTAACAATGTTTTTGTTATCAACCACCTGCTGAAATGAGACACACTGCTTAGCTTTCTCTTCGTGTATCCGTTCTATAATAAAGCACACTGTTTCAACCAGTCAGAGCACATGTTTTATCCAAACTCACTCGCTTTATAGAAAGCGGACGTTGGGACTTTACGTTTGTTCTCAATCAAGCGAGGCGGCGTTTAACGAATCAAGGGGTGTGATTTTTTCGCGTGTGAAGTTTTTGCTAGGCTTATGCATTTACGCTACGGTAAACAGGTAGCATTTATATGGTAAATAGAGTGTTTCAATCGAGCAAATGACGATAGTCTTCTACATGATTCAACGGCGTGGTAGGCTTCGGATGTTAATACCAGGTTACACATGCTCTCATCACCTTTGCATCGCGTAGTGAACCTCTACTTGAATACATCTTTCGCCAGTTTTAAGCAATATAAAGGAAAAAACGGTGACATCTCTTTACTTTAGATACGAAAGCTACAGTCGCCCCACCATCCACCCCACCGTGACAATTTGCATCCTAAAAAATCTACCAGAATCACTCCCACGGGGAGGATTTCTCTTATCATCAGTTTTGCCGATGGTTTGAATCTGCCGCTCGTATGATAATCGGAAATTTTGAAAAATCCCGCGTGTATTTTAAAGCTGTTTCCGTCATTGTTCCAAAATAGCTATATACGGTCATTGTTAATCGTTAAACAAAGCCTGCTAACTTTAGGCTGATCCGCTTTTCTTGATACGCTTTTAGCAATAGGTCTTTTTCCTTATTTACATAGCCTTATCTAAATACAAAGACGGCTCTCACCCCTCCTCTCAATCAAATTCTGCCTGGAAAGTCACGGAAATATAGTGTTCCAACAGTGGTTACCTACTCCTACCTAAACATATCCATCAACCTGATTAATGGCAAAAAAAATTGATTACAAAATATTTTCAACGACCGATGACGGCAAAGCTGAATCAGTGGTTTATTATGTCTTGTGGTCGTAATCAGGAGCTCCTGTCGTAATCTAGTATCACCTGAATATACTTCAATTTTCTCTCGATATCCTTTAGAGGCCAGCCGTCAAAGAAGGGGGGGGCATAGGATTCTGGGGAGATCACATGGATGTCAATGGGAACAGAGGGGGTCAATCGTCTCCAACAAAGTGTAGAGAGGAGAGTATAAAAAATTGACTGCCAATGAAGGGTTGGGGGTCGTAAGAATATCACAGAGCCTTAGTGGGGAGATCAGTTTATCGTGACACAACCAAAATAATCAAAATAACAGAAAAAAATTAACCGTTAGTCGTAAAATGATGAAAATTTTACCATTAATTAGCCGTAAAAGCCATCGCCTCACTGAGACTAGGCCTGTCCCGATTGGAATCCTAAAATGCTGGAAAGTTGCTAATTTGAATAGTTGCTAAAAAAAGAAATTTGCTACCTAAATTTCTTGATATTGTTATATAAACATTAATTTGTATTTAAAAAGCTTTATTTTTCGTTCTTTACAATAAGTGCTAACATCAGTCACCACAAATAGCTTGAGATTAATGTTAGCTTTTTTATGGGCGAAATTTGAGGATACTCTTATTTCTAACGAACAAAACACACGGTTCATTAGACATCATTTTAGCCAATGATCAAATGTAATATTAGATAAGAATGGAAATCGGCCGACGAACTGTTGTCAAGTGACAAGTCAGGTGTTAAAAAGCCTTTTGATGAACATTCAAGAATTTTGCATAAATTGAAGTTTTCTATGAAATCGTTTACTTTTCGTACTTAACATGTGATTTAACTGATTCTCTTTTCATGCGTTATTTCAGAGAGAGGAAACTCATTCAAAACCTGCTGTATTACTATGTCAGTTTTGACGTACAAGTACAAGTTAAAACAAGTACTCACACAAGTACCAGTTAACCTCTTGTGGATATCAATTATTGTTTTTTTAAAGTACTTGTTATCCTACTGGTTGGTAAATTGCTAGAGTTGTAAGACGTTCGAAAAAGATGGAGCTAGAGATAGCGCACAATATTCCATATATAACAAATATAGAAGCCCTGACTGTGCTCTGTTCTGTTGTAAGGCACGCAAAAAGCGGCAAGAGCACTTGAAGAAAGAACTGCATGGAGAAACACGAGACGTAGTCGTACTTCTTGACTTTTATGCGTGTTTTCATGCGCAGTAGAGGATGTGCAGAGCAATACTAAGGAAAAATAATTGAACGTGACTTTAGCGAGTCCTCGTAAAGAAAATAAACATTACAAAAAAATGGCCCAATCGTTTAGGTTTATTCTTTGCAGTGGGATACATGGGTCACTCCCTTATACTTCACACTCGCACTGTTACGCTCCGCTGGTGTTATTTCATGATCATGACTTAATAACTAAATGGAGGTTACTCTTCCTTGTTTCCAAAAAGAAGAGAAGAATTAAGCGATTATGAAAACAGATACAGCAAAGAAGATGGTAAATTGTTAACCCTAAGCGAAAACTTCTTATGTTAAAAGGGTTCTCAAAGGGCTAACAAAGAGTTAATTCTCCTGGGTACCGCAGTTTTGAGCGAGAGTGTATTAGCGCATTCTTTTTTTCTCGTTCGGACGACAAAGAGAAAAACAAAGAAGGGCCCGCCTGAAAGATCCTTACGGCTGAGGGACCAATCAGACAAATATTTTTTCTTGGATCTGTTCTCATCGATCAAAACATTTAAAAAGGTTCGGTTTTATTCAAATCATATAGGTGTTAATAACTACTTCCGAATCAACTTGTGGAAGCGTACAGGGCACGAGCCAGGCTTTTACGAAACATTAATTTATTGGATAAAGTTTGTGATCGTGCCTTAAATTCAAAATACGATCCGCAGGTAAAGCCAACTGTAGTAGATTTTACTAAGTCGAGCAAAACGAGTTAAAGAAGGAAGAGAGGAATATTTTAAGGGATTATTCGACCTGAAGATCAGCGTCCTTAATTGAGAACGTCTAGAATACCAAATTTTCATAGCATATTCGATAATGGTCATATTATATATTTGATTATGGAAACCCTCTTCTAAAAAGAATCCACATACTGGCAAATAGCTACTGCATGAAACTAGTTTGTTTTCAAGATAAAAAAAGCGGGCGCAAGCAGGCGATTTTAGCCATATTCCTTATTGTTTCGCCTAATTTTCAGTGGAATGTTAAACCGGCAGGACATTTTAGTTTTGCGGTATTTTGCGCTCTTAAGCCCTTTAAAGGAGGTTATCAAAATGTTCGATTTGTTTCTGCATCACCTCCTCTAATTTATTTATTATGCTATACATATAGAGAATAATACATGGTTTTTCTCGAGGCCGGAAATCCCTGAGAACACCGCAGTTTAAGTGATAAAACAAATTATTAGACGACTGTACCTACTGTGAAGCGTTCCTTTTGTTTTACTCGGGACCAGTTCTGAAGTGCTTACTATTAAAAAAAGAACTTTCTATGAAAGGATAGTTAATAGATGGATCTCATTGGACAGTCCCCTTCAAATTATTAACACTATAAAGGTTTTTGAACACACTCTTACAAGTAAACTTTTAAAACGTTTTATCAAATCTCAGGATGTTAAGGGTTAGGGTGTTAAATATCATGATCCTAGACGGTGACCTTTTTAATACCTAGCCGGAGGAGGAGCATTCTTATCATCTCATACTGAAAAAAGGAACAAGGGATTTGAATGTACATAAAACTTCTGCAGTTACCACCATAACTACTTTTACTAGTAATATAGAAAATCCATTTTTGAAAAACAACTGTAATATTCAAGATATGTCTTGGAATCAGCCCAACAATTCTGTAATTTGCACAAGGCCATCATCATTCGAGTTCCCACCAGTCAAACTGGAACAATCTTGGCCATTGCAGTACGAGCCTCCTCCACCTCCGGTTTGTTTCGCATGGGTACCGCTACCTCCCCCAGAGTACCCACCACCTCCGCCTGATGCACCATTATCCTCTGATCCACCTCCCCCACCACCAAACCCACCAACTGCTCCTGGTGCAGGGCCCCCGTTATTACCACTATTCATACCTCCGGCTTGACCTCCGATCCACGCTTGCGCGCGTGATCCACCTCTTTCCCCATGGGAGGGGCCTAGTCGGGTACAACCTTGACCAAACCAACCCGCTCCCACACCTCCATGATAGCTAGCGCCCTCACTGTTGCATTCACCTGGCTGCCCACCTGTGCCTCCATTTCGAACTTGTGACGAAACCTGCCCTACACTACTGGTGCCATTTGATTCCGCCTGACCATCCACACCATTATATCCACCCGACGCACCTCCTCCTCCTCCGGCAGCCAGCAACAGAACAGCAGCTGTAGTGTAAACAAAACTTCCTCCCCCTCCTCCAGTGCCAGCATTGTCTTCCACGGACACTCCTAATTGAGCTGCTGTCATGTTAGTGCTTTGTCCGCCTTTAACCTCCACTGAATCTCCTCCTCTTTGTCCCACCACAATATTTAACACTGTTCCTTTATTCAGTCTGAACTTGCCTTCTATAAACGCTCCCTTTCCACCATAATATGTTCCTGGATTGTCTCCATAATCGAATGAATGTGTTCCTCCCCGAGCGCCCCAGGCTTTGATGAGATAGCGGGTGGACCTTGGAACAGTGAACGTCTGTATAGTACCAAAGCGTCCTCTTCTTCCATCGGTTTTGAGATTCACAGTACCTTCAAAAAGAAAAAAGTATTTACGCCGGAAATATGCTATGAACGTGATACCTGTGAAACTTTTAGGGGAAAATGTTCACAAAAAATGTGAATTGAATTTGAAGCGTTGAAAATAACAAGTTAGTTAGTGTGTCTTAAAACCCAAATATCCAAATATTCAAACCCAAATGTCGGTAACAAGTTGTACCATCGCCAAAAAACCAGGTCTGCGGGAACAGTGATAAGAGCCTAAGATGTTCTCGCAATTGGCATAAATTGGACAAGATGAAGGGAAAGCGTTGCATTCGTCAATATCTGTAAAAAAGTAAAACATTAACAGCTGACTTATTCTTCTTAGTCTCCCTCAGGACCATTCAAAAAACGCGCATCCTTCCCACAAAGGAAAGTCAAATTACTTTTTCTTCCTTCTATGAAAATTCTGTGGCCTCTAGATTGACGTATTTGTTTATTCCCCAGTATTTTGTCACCTTCAATTGAACAGTGAACCGAGAGAGCTGCACACTTAGCAAACACTATTGCGAATAGGGTCAACACCTGGAAATTAAAGTGCAAGATGTATGGGGTTTATCATGGAAGTTCCGCCGTATCGCTGATACGCATAATAAAATCTTTGCAACAGGATGAAATTAAAAAATATCTAATCAAAAGAAAACAACGCGAAGATTCCAGAGCATTTGTACTGAACTTTTAAATTTAAATAAAGAATAAGTTGTTGACGCGAAGTAATTTCAAATCTAATGAAGTAATGGTCGAAGAAAGCTGAGAGAAATAACTCCTCGCAACGACATTTGCTTTATGAGAACTGTACGTTTTCTGCTAAAATTTCTTCTCACCTTTGCAGGTATGTCCATCTCCAGAAAAACCGGATCTGCAAGAGCAGCGATACGATCCCAATGTGTTTTTGCAGTCAGCGTTCACATCACAAACACTAACGGAGGTATTACATTCGTCAGCATCTGTATATGAATATCCAAATCGTTTAGAGTGACAATATAAATTGATCACGAAGCACAATTTTAAGCAAATTGATGTTCAGATCCTCTTATATCAAATTAGTCACTTTTTAAAAAAAATCAAGGAGTGTGTGTTTCAAACAGCTTTATCGAGCAGGCTCTCCAAGAGTTTCTATGTATATCATTCCCATAACATATTGAATCGTTGCTTGGTGTTGAGAATAAAAGCGAAGCATAAACAACGAGTTCACCTTACTTAGTGGGATGCAAATGAGTCAATAGTTATCAAATCCTACTTTGAAAAAAATAGATTCCAGCCTATGGATATGCAATTCTTGCCGTTATCTGTTGTCGTACATGGATTGAAACATGAATTATATAAATAAGATAAAAGATAAGATAGAAAAAAAAACCGCCATGTTTCGAAATGCGCGGGCGTTTCTTCGAGGGTGATGTGACTTGGTTTTAGTTTAGCAGGTAATTTAGTGCTATTATTAGTCTTTATTCATTTAGTTTTAGTTTAATTTAGTTTCCTGCTGTTAGATCAAGATCCAGCCATCGGCTCTGTTAGGGCTGAAAGAAAAGTTCCTTGCTGCTTCATAACTAGTTTCCAAGGAACAAATCTTAAACGATTACGAACATTTCTAAATTTTCTTTGACATGGTAACAATCTTTTCCAAGTGTTCCTTCCAAACGATCAGACTTACGATCAACAACAAGAAAGAATTGTACTTGACAGAAAAGCTGATTATTAGCTTTTATGCAAGGTACAGTACTTTTTAGTGTATATCCATTCTGTTTAACTGTCCTACTCTACCTTCAGTTTTCATGTCACAATGAGCCAACACAGGAGTGTCAGGTTTGATGAAATTCAGCCAGTACTTTCCGCTGACCGCTTGTCCACCTTCACTGGCCTTGATTTCCTCGCACGAGTCTGCAGAAAGCTCGGGAATGGCACCGAGAATAGCTAGAATAGAAAATAAGAACACGAGAAGGTGAAGAAAAAAGGCCATATCTCCTCTATAGCAGTTAGCCGAATCATTTTGCCTTGATGCTCACCTCTCTTCCTATACCGTCTGAAGTAATATCTCTCAGAGCTGGGTACAAAATCTTCAGGCCTGGCTTCCTTTGTGCGGTTACTCAGCTCACACTTGCCTTGGGTGAACACATAGTTAAAGCTTTGGCATCTGACGTCACGATAACATTCCCGCAAACACACATCACTGAGTGCTGCTCCAGTGATTGTTTTAAAAATGTGTTTTTGAAGCATCTTACCAAAGATGGAGACTTCCCGTGTATCACAGTGGTACTGAGCAACAACTGAATGAAACAATACCAACATGAAGAGGAAAACTGGTAAATTAAAGAACTCTTGGACTCCCATTGTAGTTATATAATCTCACCTGAAATGAAATCATAAAGTTTGAGAGCACAAATATGAGGATATCCACAGAAAAACAGGAAATACGATAACTGCAGAGGCACTTATTGTTCAGCTGTTTTCCAAGCAGTATGACATATCGCAAACACGCATGACGAGGGATATGTCATGCATGCGACAAATAAGCTTGGTGTGAAAAAGCAAGCGTGAGATACGGCAAGAGTCGATATGACACGGGTACTATAAAAGTCCCATTGCACGTTTGTCTATGGCTTAATCAAAAGTTTTACTTATTTTCTTCCAATACGAAGTTTTCAAAGCTTTTTTAATGCAATTCCTCAAAGGCAGAAGTAGTTTGTACTAAGTACAGCGAACGGTCGTCGTCCCGATACATGCAAAAAAAAAAAAACCGACATCTAAATACTAAGTAACATACTCCTCTAAGACTCATTCTCTAACGTATTAGCCACTCTTTCTCCTGATCCAAGCATTCACGCCATACTTTTAAAATGGCACACAGTTCACCGCCCCTGATAACGCGTATTAAAAAATTCCCAAAATGATATCTTTGGTTTAGCTCTATCCTATCATGATGATAATAGAACCATAAGGTACTTCTACTATGCTATGCTGAGTGAGTATCGCAGTCTTCCTTCACTTTTCAAAATCGACAAAGAGATCTTTGGAAACAAATTGACTTTAAATTAAACTTGACTTGTATTGAAAGAGGAACTTTACAGACCCCAACATGCTTAAATGATGAAACTATGAAACACAATGCTCTTTTTGAAACTTCTTTTAATACCACCTGCAGACTTTCTTTGAGAACATTCTGGCTGAGATCCTCGCAGAATTTCCGTCTTCTTGGAAATTCAAAATACGACATCGTTTGTTCTTGTTAGGAATAGGGCAGAACTGTGAACGTGTTTTTTTCGTTAGATGATGACATTAAGGCTGAACGCATTTTGGTCCTTACGTCATGAACGAAAGCTAAATAATTTCCCGTCCAACCCGACCTTTTTTCTCTTGAAATTCAAAATACGACATCGTTGTCATAATGTAAGTAAATAGCAACGAAACTCTTTGTTTTATCTAAAATAAAAGCATTTTTTCAGAATTCTTTGGCTTTTCTAAACTCTCTTCTTATAATCGTTCGTTTGACGCAGCTATAATATTGTTCTTGTTAGGAATAGGGCAGAACTGTGAAGTGTTTTTCGTTAGATGATGACATTAAGGCTGAACGCATTTTGGTCCTTACGTCATGAACGAAAGCTAAATAATTTCCCGTCCAACCCGACCTAAAAGTATTTTATAGTATGATTGCTGCTTTTTCTCTTGATTCCTCATACTTGTTTATGCGCTAGTAGTGTTATTGACCTCCTATGTTCATTTTTATATCAGAATGTGAGACCTCAAATAATTTTTGTCTCTAAATTTCACTTTGACAAGAGGTAACTCTTTGTAATCACTTTTCTTGAGAGTTCTGTCTTTATGTTTTATATTTTTTTTTCTTGCTCTTCAGTGTAGTCGCTGCTGAGACCTAAAAACCATGGCTGATCTCAGAAAGGAGCGAGTTTAAGAGATAACTGAAGTTTTTATCATTACAGTCCAACATTATCAAACTAGCGGGCGCCGGTGAAGCTTATTAGCATCCTAATTAGAGTTGAAATTTTGAAAGCACACTGATACAAATATGTGGCCGTCTACAGAACACCAGGGAATACGATAACTGCAGAGCCACTTATTATTTGGCTTTATTCCAAGTGGTATGACATATCGCACTCACACGACAAGCCATATGACATGCCTACGACAAATTTAAAGCTTGATGTGAAAAGGTGTGCATGAGATATGGCACGGGTCCATGAGACACGGAAATAGAAGTGTCAGAGCTTCTTAAATGCAATTCCTCATGGCAGAAACAGTTTTTACTTAGTACAAAGAACGGTCGTCGTCCCAAGGCACGCAAACTGGAAACAGACATCTAAATAACAAAGGAACCGAATTCTTTAAGACCCATTCCCTAATGTATTAGTAGCTCTTTCTTCTGATTCAAACATTCACGCTATACATTTAAAATAAAAATTTCCCAAAATGATATTGTTGGTTTTGCTTCATCTTATCATAATGATAACAAACCATAAGGTACTTCTACTATGCTGTGAACCTGCCTAAATGAGTATCGTAGTCTTCCTTTCCTTTTCAAGATCGAAAAACTGATCGTTGGGAGAGAAACGACTTTGAAACTAAGCCTGCGTTGAAATTGGAACTTTATACGGGCCAGAACGTGCGCAAGTGGTGTCACCATGTAACAGGATGCTTTATCTCAAACGTTTTAATGCCACCAGCGGACTTTCCAAGACCTATTTTGGCCGAAAGTCGAAACATGATATCGTCGTTAATTATTATAAATGTAAATAAACGGCAGCGAAACTCTTAGTTATATATTCTGAGAAAATATCACGGAAAAAATCGGACTTACATAACTCGTTTCTTTTCATCTGTCACTATAATACAGCTATGAAAGTTTTCTTTTTGACCGTAAAGGAGGGTAAATTTTGGTACCCAGGTCACTATTTAGAGACCGTGAGTAGGTAGATCCTTGTCGCATAATCGACAGAAAAATGAGAATTCAGTTCGGCTCGAACTCATTCAGCCAAAAAGTCCTCTAAGCATTTTACTAAATGAATGCAATTCTTTATCTTTGTTCCTTATTATTGCATTTTGCACAAACCGATGAAGATCATTGTCAGATGTATTGGTAATTACTTGGGTGATTAAGGTTGGTAATTTTTATGAACTACTATTTCCATGTCAAAATGTAAGACAGATAGCGCAATCTGAAAACTTGGATTCGATTTTCACTTTGACAAAACGCACGCGCGATTTTTTTGCAGCACATTTTTGAGAGTTTTGTCGTAAATCTTTTGTTTTTTCTTTTCTTACTCTTAAGTGCAAACACTGATGGAACCTAAAAATCATGGCTTGTGACAAAACGTAGCGTGCTCAAGAGTAAAGTCAAGTGTGAACTAGTGTATAGTCCAAAATTATCTAACTAGCGGGTGCAACACTTCTCTCAAAAGCGTATGAATAATTTAACAAAAGGAGGTTCTGACATCAGTGAATCATGTTTTGAGAGAGAAATCGCTTATGAGAGCTTCACTTTTTCATGATAGAGCCGTGAGTTAAATCAGGCTTTAAGTCTGTAGTTCATTAATACATTGCTAAACTGGCTTCTTTAGAATATCCCTTGAAATAATTTGACTTGGCCTCCTGAAGAGAGCCTCCGTGGTCAGCCGCATAACAAAGGACAAACTAATTTAAAACCATCCAAGATGAAGCCATAGGCTCAACTTCTCATAGTCTCCTTGCGATACATATTAAATAAAATTAATCTTTTAGAAAGAACTTTTGTACTTACCCAAGACCGTTCCCCGTAACTGGCAACTTCAGGTCATCATCGTTTTTTCCTTTGTGTGAGTCGAGTTTCTGTCAGCTGAATTAAACGCAAACTTCTGGCTAATTTTTTTTAGTTGATTACACCAAATTATACTGTCATGCAAATTATTGACGTCTGGTCTCTCCGCCAAAATTAAGTGGCAGTATGAATTTTTAGTAAAGTAAAACAGACATAGCAGGTATTTTCTTCAATGCATATTAAATAACTACTTTTTGATCAACACCAGAGAATCCTCTATGTGAGACTAAGTGGATCAAAGTTTTGCAGAAAGTGGAAAAAATAATAAATTTGCATATAATTAAAATCTTTTTTTTCCACGATGGGGTAGCTTTGGATCGCGACGTCTCGATCGATAGCATCTGACCGCATGGTTTTTCCGCACGGTTAAAGAGTACAACTGCAGGCGTATCCATTCGACCTTATCACCTGAAGAAGGATTGTAGCATACGCATTCGATTCACATTGTATACAACTGTGTTCATCACGATTATTAACTCCAACTTATATACAACAATAATAATATGTTTCGTTTAATTAAACGCGCGCATAATAGTTCACAACAATTTTCCGATTAGCTGTTTCCTCCTACAGGGATGGTTCAATAGCTGATAGCTAATAACAATGTTTTTGTTATCAACCACCCGCTTCAGACTACCCCGTGGGTTTTTCGCGATGTGTTAAGGAAATATTCTAGACTAAAGGAGAGCATATAAATTGTGATAAGTATCGAGGAAGTTCAAATATCTTGTCAGAAAGAAAATCTAAAAACTACGCCATCGATCTTTATTTCCTGTCGTTTTTTAAATGTAAACGTAGCGGTTTTCCCTATTGCAGTCTGGTACTTGGGTTTTTTTTGCGTTTTTCTGAGACCAACGATTCCAAATTTGAATGGTGGATGAACCCGAAGAAATTTTGGAGCGGAAATGCGACACACTGCTGAGGTTTCTCTCCGTTTATCCGTACTATTATAAAGTACATAGTTTCAACTAGTCAGAGCACATGTTTCATCTAAACTTTGAGCAAAAAAAGACTTTTTCCGTATTTACCTAGCCTTATCTAAATACAAAGTCGGCTGGCGAACCCATGACAAATCTCCCATCCCTACCCCCCTAATCAAATTATGGCCGAAAAGTCTAGGAAATAAAATTTTCTAACAGTGTTTACATACTCCCACCCAAACAAACCAATCAACCTGATTAATGGAGAAAAAATGATAAAAAAGTGTTTTTAACGACCGATAACGGCCAAGCCGAGTATGTGGTTTATTATGTCCGCTGGTCGTAATCCAGTATCACCTGCGAGCGATAGCCTATCGCCAATCGCTCTGACGAAGGGCTGACGCTCGAAACGTTAGCTTTGCTACTCTTTTGTGGTGGCCAATTTACGTTACTAAATTATAAACTAGCGCGGAGCAGTTTCAATAATTGAAAATAGATTTTCACCCACGAAGAGAATGAAATATGGTGCCATATTTTTTGAAGCTCTAATCCACCCCCCACCCCCTCCCGAGTGGGGAAAAGTTTTTGTGTGGTGGAAAATGAGT